TGAATTTTCGTTACTTTAAAAGAGGATAATACATAAAATTGATCTCAAAATAAGCCGAAAGAGTTCATTTAAACTCTAGTAACAAAAAATTCACTGAACAATACCTCCTGATTATTAACGTTAAACACTTTCAATTACACAAAATGAGTAAAGTATTCAAATAATTAGTATTCTAGAATGAACGTTTTTTGGGTTTGAGAAAATATCACTAATAACTTGTAGTTTAAATCAAGAAAAATATTTTATTCTACCTTTGACCACTTTTTAAGTAATCATGATCTATATGGATTTGTTTGGAAGGAAATTAATAGATCATTCTATACAATATCTTTTTATTACTTCTTCTAAACATTGTTTAACTTTAAATCATTTCAAATAATTTTTTAGGATACTATCTATTTTACATTTATATAAGTCCGTAATTCGTTATATATATACTGACGGATGTACGTACTAATTGAAGTCAGTAAATCTAAATTCGACCAGCTATGAGACAACTGCATTACCAAATAGAAAGTCAAAAGAATCAACGGTAATAAATTCATGTGAATATTGTACACTGAAATAAAATAAACCACATATTGTAGTGTCGATTACTATGCTAAACCCATATAATTTATTCTAGCTTCTGGACAAGCCAATTTATCCATTCTCCTTGAGTCACGTTTTCACCTTGTTAATTATTTGCTTATCAACCCTGATTGTTTCTATATGAGTGTATGTGCATACACTTCTTATCCTATTAATCACATGTCTGTAACCTATTTTTATCTGGATATAAATATCGATTAATGCTTGATTAAATGAAGTTGGCTCCACAGCGCATCCTTTCATTTCACTTCGCTCTCTCTTCTTCACTTCATTTGTTGCGATTCTCTGATTGTCTGTTCGAATCAATGAGTGTTCAAAATATACGCATTCAAAATCCATTCTCGTATTTAGCTTATTTAATTTCGTTATTCACTAACGAGAATTGACGATATATATATATATATATCGACAGCAATCATTCATACAATATAACTGGAGTCAGATACTGGACCACTAAAATACTTTGTTTGTTTGAAAATTGTCATCATATCAAAACACTAATGTATAAATGATGAATACGCTTTTCAATAAATTTACTTCACACTCTACAATTATCTATCTGAGCTAATATTCTAAAAGAATGGACAAGCTTAAAGTAGATAAAACTTTTTGAAATTACAACATGTGAATTTAGAATTGTTCGTAATATAACAGAAAATTATTGATATTACTGAAATACCTGGTATATAATGAATAGGTTTATACATTAGTTGAAATTATGAAATTAATATTAATTAGAATAAATATGAATCATATAAGATAAGAAAGATAATTATGTAATTACAAATTAGATCAAATGTTTGGTTGAATAATACAATATCTGTAGAATGATAGAAATTAATGAAGGAAAAGTAAAATGGCATAATCATTCCTTGAATTCTTTGTATAGTCACAAGTTTAACAATGATGGTTATGATATAAAGTATTATGAACAATAATAATGCTAGTACTCTGTAAGTGTTAAAAGATATATTTACTTTAAAGATGACTATCTCTTTAGATCATTTATTTGAATTTATAACTGTAGGATCTAATACCTTACTAACTGTACTGAAATATTTCTCTTATATCTTTACTTATATCTATTATATAATCTAATAGATTCAGACGTTTTAAAAAATATATTCAGTTCATTGGTAATTTGAAGTTTATATAAATATTTCATCAGGGACCGTTTACTATTTTTAAGAGTACAGTTATGTTTGTCGCATTCAAATTTTCCCTTCTTTATCCTAGTTTTTTAAGTCTGAGCTTATTGACTGAACTAATATCACTAACTACATGCTTATATAATAAGTAATTCTTAGGTTGGTTATTAAATGTTTAATGTTCAATGATAAAAGTAGAAAAAAGTATTAAGAGGAAAACGTGATAAGAACGATGAGAAGAATAACTGAAAGAAGATGATTATGCATTTCTAAGAAGAAATCAACACAGAATACATTCAACTTAAAAGAACTTGGATTATGCTATTGTTGATAAGTAGATGCAGTATCTAAAAAGAAAACGTGATACCATTCAAAGCAAACAGAACCGAATTCTTATCTTGTAGTGGACGTGTACTCTAGGATGCAAGTGCACCTAGCTGATAGGGCCTAAATAGAATAAAACTCGTATTCTGGATTACATTGCTACCTACATTACATTTATTCTATGAAAATACACATTTTAACAAATCAAACAATTTACCATTTTACAGAAGTTTATAAACAATTTACTTTCGCTTTCGTAAACGTTCACTTCAATTTGTAAAAATTTACAAAAATTTGTAGAGGTAGTACTCACTAAACTATGAGTCAATCGTCATAGTGCTCTTTAAACTCAAGTTTTACATTAAATCGTGAGACATAATCGATTGAACCGCTATTGCAATCAATATAACCGAACAATTACAATAATGGATCAAAATTCATTTTACCCTAATAAATTATTGATCAATAAGGTAATACTTTGTAGTGAATAATCTGCATTTAGAATTGTAAGGTATAACGCACCATATCATAAATCTTTGTTCTATAAACGAGTAATACTTCATAATGTAAGCGGAAAAATTAAACAAATTCGATAGTCTGGTTAAAATTGAAAGTGTATAAAATAACAGATTACTTTATACTATTTGATTTTAACGAAAAGTAAATTCTAATTCATTAAATACAGAGCATATTTGTCTCACTACTGAGAAACAAAAGCATCATACATGGACACCTAGATGTTAAAGGGTATTTATTTGAATCTACATAATCTTAATATTTATCAAAGAAATAGTTTTAAGAATATATGTGTTAATCATATTTATATTTATGACCAATAAGTAAACTTTTAACGATTGGTTCTGTATGCCACGTAATGACTTAATGAAATGAGATACCATCTTGAAGTAATCAGAAGACAATGTAATATAACCATGAATTTGTATCTTTACGACAGGGTCGTACTTTATTAGTGAAAAGTCAGAATGTGTTTAGCTTATTAAGACCTTTTGATGTAACATAGTAAACAGCTAGTGTAAACTTTTATACTGGTAATATGCCTGCCGAACGTCGAATATCCTAATGGTAACCTTTTGGATTATAACAGAAAATAACAAAGTTCAAATCCCGTGGGGTTTTCTGCTAACGCTTACAAAACGCATAACTTCAAAGAAAATTTAACAGTTTCACTCCACTTAGTTAAGTGATCACATCATAAAAGCTTCCAATGTAGAAATCATTCAGCATAAAGGACTTATAAAATCAGCAGCGTCTACACCTTGTACAAAAGTGAAGACACACTATATCACACCTACTGTGAGGAAAAGTGAACAAAGAAACCTAATGACTCCTTTTCAAAATAGAAAACTTCATAAAAACGTTTGTCGAACTTATCAAACTATGGAAACTAACAATCAAATTATTCTGCCATAGATGAAAAGTACATCCAAAAGTAAGGTCAGACAGTTGAGGCTTTTAGGAATAGGAGTTACTCATAAGCCAACAAAATCACTTTAATATCATATAAACTTAATGAGTAAATATCGAAGAAATCATCAACAAAATAAACTGCTCCAACTGAGACAGACATTATATAGGAAAAACTAACCACTCCGTTTATCTTCATTTACATAAATACTACTTGATTGCTGAACGCCATGACGTACTTCTACTTATATCATTACATTTGAAAAACCGTGAACGTTCATTTGACGGTGATAACATTGAAACCTCGAAGTAACATAAACAATACCAGAGAGCTTTCGAGGCTCAGCAATCAATAAACGTATAAAAACAGACAAAACTTATCAGCCAATTGAACAAATTATAAAACAAATATGAAGTCAAGAATCAGGTTAAGAGGAGAGATGATCAAAATACAAACAATTAACTTTATTCGAATTGCACTGCATATTTGACCCATTTCACTGGTATACATATGTGTTAACTATAATAAAGAGTTTAATTTTGAAATACTATAGGTTGGAAATAACTGAAGACAGAGAACCTAACAAGATAAAATAAATTCATTTTATCATGCTTAAATCTGTGTTTTTTCTACTTAAACGATAAAAGAGTAAACTAAGTATACTTTATCACATTCACTGATGGTCGTTTTACTCAGAAATTCTAATGGGCACAAGCTATTCGTTAATTATGTACACCCTATATATATATATATATATATATATATATATATATATATATATATATATATATATATATATATATATATATATATATATATATATATATATATATATAGTCTGCATCTACCAACATGGCTCAGACTAGAAGTCAGTGACTTCAAGCACTGATGCCACGTTGTGGTTTGGCCACTCCTAACTTCCAAATATCCCCAACACTGGTTAGCATTGCACGTCGTGGTAATCGGTGTTCAGGCATACCCAACACGTGGCCTAACCATCTCAGTCGATGAAGATTCACAACCTCATCAATTGATTCACCATCATTCTCTAATACCCTGAGACCTTTCTAACCCAACCCCTCCTTGTGTGAAGGCGGCATCGCTGTCATACTGGTTGACTGAAGGAAACAACTTACTGCCGTCACACCTCTGTACAGTCAGCAGTACGACTTCGCCTTCGAACATTGGGTTTGTTGCTTTTAGTCCTACCGCTTTTCAACCGACCTGTCTGACATGGACCTTGAGGAACGGTTGTTCCAGCTACTATAGCTCGGTTGCTTCATCACGATAGGCAAGCCTGACCACCACGTCAAGGTATATATATATATATATATATATATATATATATATATATATATATATATATATATAATTCTTTATGATAACAGATAATAAGTATCTAATCACTTATTTGTTAGGAGTTATGTCACTAAATTAGTGACTTTTTAAAAAATGTAGAAAACAAAAATGTTAGTTCAAAACAAAACATTATTCAAACAAATATCACCTACTTTGTGAATTTTCAATAACGTTTTATTATCAGAATTTATTAATTCATTATTATTATTATTATTAGTGGTATTAACGTATAGTGGATGATATTGTAATGTATTATTCACATCTTCAAAAGAATTATTCATTAAACATCGTTGAAGTGAATTATTTCTATGATACTTCTTTATGATACATTTCTTTATGTCTATAATTAATGAACATTGAATAAAGAAATGAGAATTTAAAAAAAGAACATAATGAATAATTGGGGAAAAAAGAATAATTTATCAGTTTAAGTTTATAAAATATCAACATTCCCCTAGAAAAGAAATTACTACAAAGTAATATTGTATTTTATTCTATTGATTTTATAAGATTTTCTTTATGAAGATGTAATATGATGAATAGTTATTTCACAGGCTGAAATCATGAGTCAATTGAAGCTAGACCACCATGAAAAACCTGGAAGCCCTGGACGGCCGTTTTGTCCTAGTACGGGACTCCTCAACAGTGTACATCCACGATCCCGCACCCCGCGAGATTCGAACCCAGGACCTATCAGTCTCGCGCTAATGATAGATAACTTTTAAACTTACCGTTTATTTGAAATACAGTTTAACCATTAAAAATGTATAGAATGTATAAAATTATGTTTAAATGTGTTCGACTTGCTATATTAATGTTTCTTTTGAAGTGATATTTGGGTTAGAATAAAAGCGAATTAAGAAAATGTTTTAGATAAGAAATAAAATTAATTCATAAATTTCCTGACTATTGATTTAAACCACGTATAAACATGTGTAATTGATGAGGTGATTGTAATCTATAATCAGAAATCTTATTTCATATCACGTACAATTCGTTATAGTCAACCGAACCTACTTTGAATTTTATTTTTGATCCTTCTATTTCATGGATCCCCTTTGAAATAATTACTTCAATAATATAGTTTTTCATTGTTAAAATTATTATCACATTACCTTGGTTGCTTATTTTTTTACCTAGTCAATTTCTTTTCTATAAGTCAACGTTTTGGGACAATATGTAACGACAAACATTTGTACTTGAATCAACGTTATTTATGAACTAACTCACTAGCTTTAATCTAACATATAAAACATTATCAAATTTATTAGACAGTTAGTCGTCAATTACCACAAATTGAATCCTATAAAAATTGGAATGTACTTGAATGAAACATATTCAAACTAATAATATTTTATAACGTCATTCTTTACATTAACATCAAGCATTCTACATTTAAAACGTCTGTACATGTAATCTTTTATTTGTTTTATAAAATTTTCTAAACTAACGTAAAATTTTTTAACATTCATAATTTAACATTTCTCAAACATAATATCATAAGTGTTTGTACTCATCATAGAGACAAAGTCTGTTCAAAAGTTAATTCTTAATTACATATCAGTTTAGATGTTGTGAAGACTGCTAAGTTTTTTATTGAAATCATGAGTCAATTGGAGCTAGACCACCATGAAAAACCTGGAAGCACTGGACGACCGTTTCGTCCTATTGCGGAACTCCACAGCAGTGCGCATCAACGACCCCGTATCTAGAGGTTCGAACCCAGGACCTATCAGTCTCGCGCCAGGCGCTTTACCAACTAGACCACTAAGCAGGCACCCAACGGCGTTAATGTCTAACTTGAAATAATCCACGAAACTGAGCGACACATCCACCATTGTTTTCAGTGAGTTCCTACCTCACAACTGACACGGTTGAACTCCACTAGTCATTGCTTCTCACTAGAACTTCAGAATATACTTCTTGTAGCCAGTCACTAGTGAGCATATGTTGATTATTATCAGAAGGGGTTTTGTGACGATTGTAGTAATTTCAACAGTTGAGATCATGAATCATGAAATGGCCGTCCAGTGCTTCCAGGTTTTCCATGGTGGTCTAGCTTCAATTGAATCATGATCTCAACTGTTGAAACTATCTATATATTAGTCAATATTCTATCGGTAGAATGAGATATAGAAGTATAATAAGTCTTCGAAATTTGATCAAAATTATCTAATTAGTTTAAAAACAAAAGTATGCTAAATATTTGGTGGCACGATATTTTCCCACAAACACATACGCAAAGATATGTGGGTTTCATCAAACCACACCATGGAGAATCAGTTAGATCACATTTGCATTACTAAAAGCATCAGAATGTAATGGAAAACGCTAGAACAGATAAAGGGACTGACATAGCTTCAGATCACGACCCGTTAATTGCCAAAATGAAATTGAAGCTAAAGAAAATTTGGGAGGAGGGATGAGTGCCACTAACAGACTGGAAAGAAGGACACCTCATTAAGATACCAAAGGAAGGAAAGTTGAACAAAGTTGAGAACTACACTGGCATTACACTGCTGTCAGTACCAAGAAAGGTTTACAACAGATTGTTGCCGAACCGGATGAAAAATTCAGTAGACGCTTAGCTTCGATATCAACAGGCCAGATACTGTAAAGATCGGTGGTGCACAGAACAAGTCGCTACACTACGGATCATCGTTAAACAATTAGTTGAGTTGAATTCGTCACTACACATCAACTTCCTTGATCATGGAAAAGCATTTGACAATGTGCATAAAAGAAAATTATGGAAACTTCTTTGACACTATTAAGTACATGAAAAGATCGTCAACATCTCACCGAATTCATACGACGGACTACACTGTAAAGTGGTGCATGAAGGACAGATGAAAGATGCATTCCGAGTGAGGACCAGAGTCAGACAAGGCTGCTTACTATCCCCCTTTCTCTTTCTTCTGATGGTCGACTAGATTATGAAGATCTCCATATCTGAGGGGAAACACGGAATAAAGTGGACAGGTTGGATACAACTAGACGATTTGGACTTCTCAGATAACCTAGCCCTTCTCTCCCAAACATATAAACAAATTCGGGTTAAAACAGTCAGTGTAGCAGCAGTATCTGCAACAGTAGGCCTTACCATTCACAAGGGGAACGCAAGGTCCTCAAATAAAACACGGAGAACACCAACCCAATCACGCTTGATGGAGTTCTTGATGATATGGAATTTTCCACGTACCTGGAAAGAATCATCGATGAAAATGGAGGATCAGATGAAGATGTAAAGGGACGGATTGGCAAAGCAAGGATCTCATTCCTACAATTGAAGAACATATAGAGCTCAAAACAACTGTCAACCAATATCAAAGTCAGAATCTTCAATGCAAACGTCAATACAGTTCTATTGTACGGAGCTGGAACATGGAGAACTACTAAAACCATCATCAAGAACATACAAGTAGTTATAAACAATTTTCCACGCAAAATGCTCAATGTTCGTCTGCCGTATATCATTAGCAACAGCTTACTGTTGCAGAAAACAAACGAGCTTCTAGCTGAAAGAGAAATTAGGGAAAGACGCTCAGGGTGTGTAGGAAATACATTACAGAAATCACTAAACTGCATCATGAGGCAAGCGTTAAATTGGATTCCTGAAGGGAAACGGAAAAGAGGAAGACCAAGGAACACACTTCGTTTAGAACTGGAAACAGACATGAAAAGGATGAATAGCAACTGGAAAAACAGTAAAGGATTACCCAGGAGAGAGTTGGATGGAGAATGATGGTGAGTGGCCTATGCTCCTCCATGAGGGGTAACAGGCGTAAGTAAGTAAGTATTGTTAAATATTGGTAAAACAAACACAAATGAACGACTTTTAAGCACTAATAAATGTATCAGCTAGATTATATTCCAGTTTGTTAAACCTTTTAAGAAAATATGTATAATCACATTATTTTATAACTACCACACGACTTATATAACTTCCAACCTGTGATTTTGATAGGACATTAACACATGTTTTTAAGTTACTGAAAATATTTGGTAAGAATTGATAGAGTATTTTAGAAAAAGAAAGATTGGAGCCAATAGCTTCTTGCTTGGATTAAATTAATCAAATATGCTTGAAAGCCATTAACAGCATCTAAAATTTACAGGTAATTTTTAAATAAAAAAGGTATCATAAATTTCTTTGGATCAATACTGATTCCCATGTATTATAAAGCCTATAATTTGAAATATTATATATATTCTGGAAGCTATTTTAATGCAAAACAAATAACTATTTGAACACAAATTTCAAATATTGTTTTCAGAATAATATGAAATCAATAACGATGACACTTTTGTATTTCGAAATCATGAAACACAGAACCAAGTGTGTTCGGGAATCTGCGCTTCCTACAGATTGACTAGTATTGTGAGGCATACAGAATTACATTAATTACATTCTAGTAACTAATCAAAATATATTGATGAGACTAAGTTTGGGTAAAGTTCCTATCATAATAGGGTTTTTGTAATATGGCTATAAATTTATGTGTACTGATAAGAGGTCCTACTGACTGTTTTTACATGATTAGATGACTTCCACAAAAGGAGAAATTTGATACTAGATTCTAATGCATTTTAAAATGTTTTGAAACACTTCTTCAAAAATGGTGGTTATGCAAATTCTAAATGGATGAATATCATATGAACATACTATAGCCGCAAACCGTCGTAGTAATGCTATGTTTAACTACTCATTAACTGCTTTTGAAGCAATTAATATATTTCTATTTTTAAATGCTTTACAACAAAAATACAAGATTAAATCTTATGAAGCATGTTTTAGGGTTCTACATTTATATACGAAATACACATTTAGATTTAAGTTGCAAATACAAATTCCTGACTATTGTAGATTGTTTAGTTAATAATATTAAGTGTCGCGTCGATTAATCATGATAAGGAAAGTTGATAAGATCTGCAAGCGGTGAATCAAATCAACCTAGATAGTAACTTTGCAAATCAGACCATAAAGATGTAAAGATCAAACGGTAAATATGATCGCCTATTGTGTATGCCAATAAATACAAATGATACAGGTGAATTATTTTGTCTAGATCTGCTTGGCTGATTTAAATGAATTTGTTTACTGAAAGTTGGCTTTCATAATACTTACATATACTGGAATATTAATTAACAGCTGTCTCGTCTTATTATGAAACTAGACAGTGTTATCTGCATCGGGTGATATTTACGATCGAATCATGAGGTTTGAATTCTACCTTCTATCTGTTCGGTTAAAGTACAATGAACTATTTATTTTAAAGATGATATGCGATATTCACAAAACCAAACAGCTGTTCAGTATTCAATAAACATTCCCGGTTG